GCCCTGCCCTATCATGGCATGTGGATCACAGATTGCCTACTTAGCCCCAAGGTTGGTTTGTTTCAATTTTTCAGAGCCGAGCATTGAACTCAGGGCTTCTCACATGCCACGCAAAGCACTCTACCACTGAGCTACATTCTCAGTCCTTTTTAAAATTATATCTTGAGACAGGGTTTTGAAGTTTGCCCAGCCTGCCCTTGAACTTGTGGTCCTTCTGTGTTAGTCTCCCAAGCAGCTAGGGACAAAGGCATGCAACACCAAGCTCAACCTCTTACCCCAAGTTCTGACACCATCTACGTTTCCCAGTGATCCCTCTTACCCTGGCCTCTCAGTCCCTTCATGTTTTACCACCTGTAAGAGCCAGGGTTCTAGTGTTCATTATAGATCCACAGGTGGCTAGGTTGACCAGAAAAGGAATTGCACAGAGTACGAGTGCCTGCGGAGTCACTGGAAAGACTGAAGACAGGTGTCTAGTTTGACCTTCTAGGAATACAGGGTCCCCAAAACAACAACTAGAACTGGCTCCCCAGGGAGCTACTCTTTGCGTCACAGTCAGGGCATTGAGGAGTCAGAAAGCAACTCTGCAGATGGACCACACCACTTGCCCAAGGTCTCGCTATCCCAGCCTCATGCATCTAGGCAGGGTCCTAGAGTCCATCTGGGTAGGGGTGATGTATCCCACACCTAAAACTGCCCCTCAGAAATGTGCTGCTCAGTCTTGCTTATTCTCTCTTCATCCTCCTGCTGGCCAGCTGTAGAGCTCTAGGAAGCCCTTAAATCATCATGTTGAAATGGCAGCAGTCCCCTTAGCCTAGGTTCTTAAATGACTGTATAACTGGAGAGACCACACACACACACTCATCCCTATCCATGCTGCAAACAGATTTCTGTGGTAGTAAGCCACTGAGATTTGGGACTCTTGTCCATCAAAACAGCTGGTGGGCCAGGGATTTAGCTCAGTGGTTTTGTCACCTGCTGTGCAAGCGCAAAGACCCGAGTTCGATCCCCAGTACAAAAGAAAAAAAAAAAAAAAAACAGCTGGTGTTTTGTCAGCTGATTCAGGAGGGGTGCTTGAGTGGTCTCTATTGACTTTAGCCACACCCCTAAACCCTTGCCTAAATCAGCAAATAGTGTGAAATAGCCAGCAGCTTGAAAATATCTATTCAAACAATATGCTGGAGAACCAGGAAGTTAACCCAGGATGGATTCACATGCCCACTGTGTTCACGGGGAGATGGACTGTGTTTTGGGGCCATCCCAGGGTCTGATAAGTGGCATCAGCTCAGTGTCAGTGCCCCACAACCCCTGAGCCTGAGGTGGTCCCTCCCCAGGGCACAGGATTCTGGCAAAGGCCAAATGTCCCCTCGGGAGAGACTGGAAGAAGAGCTGGTGTGGCCTTGGATGCTTCTGCTAAGTCTGTCCTCAGTAGAAGTCTCCAGATCTGGGAATGGCTCATCTAGGAATTCTGAGAACGTCAACTGCCCTGTGCAGTGACCAGGCCTAGGACATGTTTCCGGGACCTAGGGCTTTTCCACCACCACCCCGCCCCACCCTTTTTCTCCCCTCTGCCTTTGTCCTGGAGCAAAACCCCATGGCCAATAAATCAGAGCTCTCTGAGGCCACACCACTCTACTGCCCACTGCCCATTGCAGTGGCCTCACTGCTGGCTGACCATGTGACTCTGGCCCCAGGCCCTCTTCACCCTGCTTCCTGGCAGCAGGACCGCTTCATCCCTGGCCCCCAGAGCTTCTGCCACGTGCTACTGCTGCCCTCTGCTTCCACGGTACAGCCCTTCAGGTGCTGGTCAGGAGATCCTTCAGGCTGTCTCTCGAATTATTAGGTGACAGCTGAGCAAGTGAAGCCCAATTTATTCTTGTTTCATCAGTCTTTGGGTGCTTTTCCTCCATTAAACCAAAGTATTTCAAATATTTCACCTTCGTTTCCATGAGCTTTGAGAAGCCATTTTAATTACCACAGCACAAACAGCCCCTTCCCAGGCCTTCCATTTGCCTTCCAAACCAAAGCCTGTGGTCACGGAATCAGCCCACCTGATTCAGGACCATCATACTCAGTCTGATACCATTCATCAGGACTTTGCTGAGGAAGATCTGGAAAATGATGCGATTCTTTTGGTGTCCAAGTCTTTCTTCCCTTCCCAGATTTACTTCATGGTTTGGGGGTTTTTCGCGGTACCAGGAATAGAACTCAAGACCTTGAACTTGCAAGGCAGGCACAGCACCACTGAGCTAAATCCCCAGCCCCAGATGGACTTTAAACAGCCCCTGTCCTGAACTGGAAGACTGGCCTAAAACCTAGACATGGGTTTGGCTCATAGCCACTGCATTCCTCAGGGCCTTGAACCTGTGCTGCAGCTGCCTTTCAGCCCACTCCAGCCAGATCTGCCCTGAACTCTACTCTGCGGGTTCCTGGCTGCTATGGATGCAAACTCTAATGTCTGCTGTCAACAGCCACTTTGAGGCCTGGGTTTGCTCCAGATGGTCCTCCTCATCAGCTCTGTTTAGCTCCTTGAAAGCACTGGAAAGGAACTTGGTTGGGGCATTCCTGATAAAATATTTAACAAACATTTTCTGTAATTTTGTGAACATAATTTTGTGAATGGTAAGACCTATTCTTGTGAATAGTCACCTGCCCAGATCACTGTCATTTACAGGTCAAATGATCTCTAACGAGAGGTTATTTCTGTGTCTGGTCTGACAGCAAGGGGGTTTTTTTTGGTATTGGGGATTGAAATTGGGTTCTTGTGCTTGCGCAGCAGGCGACAAAACCACTGAGCTAAATCCCTGGCCCCTGACAGCAATTTTTTTTAAACTGGGGACTGAACCCAAGACTTTCGCACTGATCTACATCCCCAGTCCTTTCCAACTTGAGACAGTCTCACTAAGCTGCTAAACTGCTCAGACTGGCCTCGAACTTGGAATCCTGCCTGGGCCTCCAACAGTGCTGGGATTATGGGTGTGTGCATGGCTCTGACAATGATTCTTGCTCCTTCCCTGAGTGAATCTTTGAAAGGATCTCTCATAGCTTTCCTCTTGCACTCAAGAGTGTAACAAAACCTGACCTCTGCTGAAGAGGGGCCTTCAGCAGCTCCACAGGGTCTCCTCATCTTTCCACCTTGTCAGCTCGGGGGCAAGCTCCACCAGGCTTCAGGCTTCAGTTTTCAGCTGAAACACTCTCTCCTCTGGAAGAACCACCCTGTTGGCCCTGCCCCGCACCAACCATTGCAGCACCTACACATTGACGACAACATCATGGAGCAGGCCCAGGAAAGTGGGAGGGAGTCATCTGGCCCCAGGAGCTGCTGCAGAATTCCTTCACCAAGGCCAAATGTTTCCACTGATGCAGCTCAACCACTTCACCATCCCCATACAGAAGCCTCTCCCATCCCTTGTCCAAAGTGCAGAAAGAAGAAACCAGGCGCTCATTGCAAAGCCCCTCTTCCTACTGTGGGCGTTTGTCCCAAATTAGCATGCTTCAGGGATCTAAAGCCACTTCCTGAACCCCAGCGGGCTGCCTCCAATTGGGGCTCAGTCAATGCAGAAAAAGAATTCACATCTCCTAAATAAAGGACAGCCTGCAGAGCTCGGCTTTGAACACACCTACCCGGCAGCACACGTCTGTACCCGCCTCCCCCATCCCCAGGCCTGAGGTCAGGGATGGCCGAGGCAGCTGTCACGCCAGCACACACCTGAGCTGCCTCCGGAACTCGGGTTAAGTGCCACCATTTGCATAAGTTCTCAGCCCCACGGCTTTTCCAAGAATAATGGGCAGGTCCTGGGGTAGTTCCCAGGTTGCAGTAGAAAGGGCTTTGGTCGATTCCTTTTAAACCCCAATTCACAGTGCCGACCAGCTGTGAGAGCTCCAATTACGGGTTCAAAGATCTCTGGGCCACAGAGTAGCTTCGGGTGCGGCTCCTGATAGAAGCCCCAGCAGGGCCCACGCCCCCACCCCCCACGGGCCCAGGAGCCACCCTGGAACGTGGCAGGCAGCAAGGGGACCGCAGGCTGGTGACCGCCTCTACACCCTCACCGCTCTTCAGGTCAGCAGCAGCCTTGGCCCAGCCTCTCCCCATCCCTCTCCGGCATCCCCGACCTTCAAACTTTCTCCCCTTTCACCACTTGTCTCGGACCTTTCACGTTTCACCCAGAAAATGCCAGCTCCCCAGCCAGAGATGGCCTCAGTGGAAACCGAGTCCTGGCCCCTACCCTGGTCCCAAGGCCCTCCCAGGCCCCGTCCACCTTCCCCCGGCCAGGGGGTTAACGACTACTGGAAATCCTCCCCTCCCCTCCCAGGTACTCGGGTCTCCCTCCATCCAGAGGTCAGACGGGTCCCCCAGCTTGTGGGAGAGCCCACGGCCAGGGAGCTGCCTGGAGGACGGCCACCCTGAGGAGACCCGTCCTGGGGGAGCTGTCCTATGGGCACTTTGCTCTCTCGTGTTTCACGAAAAGCATCTAAAGCTGGTAGAGCCCACGACTTTCCCTTCCGTTTGCTCGTTCACGGGACGCCATAACACTCCCGGCGCCCAAGCTTCTTAAAGGTCCCCAGTCTCTCAACAGCAGAGGGCGGGTAGAGCCCAAGCCACCCCTCCCGGGGAGAGGCCGGGCCCCACACCGGCCCTGGGTAAGGAGCGCGAACTCCGGAGAGCACTGCCACCGAC